GCTTTTAGATGATGCCTGAATGAATAAGCAGAATTTTGTGTACAGATACGATTATTTGTGTTGAAAATAGCAAACTGACTTGTAAAGATGGCTGCGGGGGTTTTGAGGAGGCCAGGTTCAGGTTTGTCATATCCTGAGACATTGCCTCCAGTGCCTGGTCTGAGGAAAAGTGAAGAAAAGTGTGGAAACATTTTCAAAGTATTTAACAGAAAATAAATGCTTTATTGTAATGAGTAATAATGTGTGATGATAAAATGTCGTAAATGAGCACTATTCTGAAACAACTGGCATTGTATATCTCATCTTATTGTGACAAAAGATGGCCAGTCAGAAGATGGGAGGTCACTTTAAGCTACATGGGGTCTAGAAAATGTAGATTTGATTAGAAAACTCAACTCAAACTTTCCCAGATCATGGAGACATCGAATGCTCCACCGTGATCACTTGATTCTCCATCTAGAGGAAACAATACAGGAAACACTCTTTCTACTTGATTCTGCCTCATGAGAACATGTGTCAGTACTAAGCATCAAACACATAATAAATAGAAGCAGAGACAGGCCCACCCATACAAGTTAAATTGTTTTTGATATTTTACATGTTCACCAAATTACCGTATTTTCCGCACTAAAAGGCGCACCTTCAATGAATGGCCTATTTTAAAACTTTTTTCATATATAAGGCGCACCGCATTATAAGGCGCATAGAATAGATGCTACAGTAGAGGCTGGAGTTACGTTATGCATCCACTAGATGGAGCTGCACTAAAGGGAATGTCAACAAAACAGTCCGACTCCGGTCGGCGAGGAGAACCTTCCTCCACTGGGCCGGGCGATGGTCACCCTTCTCCGTTCGTGCACAGCATCTTCGTGGAGAACGTGGTGCTAAATGACCTGCAGATGACCTGATTCTAGACGGTCGGTAGGTAGATAGGTCAGTCAAACTTTATTAATAGATTACAAACCAGCGTTCTGACAACTATCCCAGCATGCACCGCGCGCTTCTTCTTCTACGGGTGAAAATGAAGTCGGCGGCTGCTTACCGTAGTTGCTAGACCTGTTGTTGCTCAATATTGGTCCATATATAAGGCACACTGTCGGCTTTTGAGGAAATTGAAGGTTTTTAGGTGCGCCTTATAGTGGGGAAAATACGGTACTTCTATTTTCCAGCAAACTCAGCAGCTACAAATTTTTACTGATGAAGACTTTAAAAAAAAAATCAAGGTATTTTGATCTGTTTAGTTGTTGTTTTTTTCTTTTTTCAAAGTACTCTGGATATTTAGAAGCTGTTTGGCACACTTCTAAGGGCGTAAATACCATCTCATTATTGGGGGGACCATAAAAAGGAATATTTCTTAAGACCAATTTTTTGGGGGTCAGCAATGTTGCAGTGAAATGTAATATAAAATGTGGTTTAAAAGGTTTTTAAACCATATTGCAGTTGCAAGACCAAAAATGACTAGTAATGCACATCAAACGTGTGTTTTTCTAAGTAAGCAACATGTTGAGAAGTAAAACTAAAATTCAAATGTTGTTTAGATACNGACACTTTTACATTGTTTAAAGAATATATTTACATGATTCCATAATTTAATGTACATTTAACATTTCAAGACAAGAAACAAATAATTTTCTTGTATTTATTTTTTTTTTATATGTTATTGAAAAGTGACTTGATTTATAAATCAGTCATTGTCAAACATTAAACTACATATTTTTCTTACTTTTTTCCAGAGAAAAAATATTTATTACAGAATGTCAACTAGCAAAGAGTGAAAATAATTCTAACAGAATAAATTATTCTTATTTCATTACATAAGCTGTATTAATACACTAATACTTCAAATTGAGATATTTAAAAATACCCAAAAGTGAAAGAATAAAACATTTATTTATTATACTGGGAACGCTGGCCACAGGCAGGGCTTCAGTCTGCTGGTCACACTGGGAGAACTCAATGACTTCTGAGACGTCCTGGTTCATAGGCTAAAGCCAAGGATAAAAGAGAAATTATCCAAAAGTGTAATAGAAAATACATACATGTTTCCTTCACATTCAGAAATACATTTTCAGCATGTTGGGCTCTGACTCGTAGCATCTTTATAGCTAAATGCCGACATGAAGAGGCTGAGCTGGGAAACAGACTGAAGAACAGCAGCTCCAGCTCTGATCCTGACTGATCTTTCCTCACTAAATCCTCTGGTCTTTAATGGACTTCCAATATAACATAATATATGCACAATATTTGCCCTTAAATCAGCTCTATCTCACTAGAAAACAGTGTGAAAACGTTAGCTGCTACACTAACAATCAGCAGTTACATCGGGCCAATTTAACTACATAGGAAATATTTCTCGGTTGTTTAGAAGCGAATTTCTGGCTGCAAATTCAAGTAATTCTGATCTTTCATCCTTACCTGTGAAAGGTGATGCCAGTGAATCCAGTTTGTTTCGTAAAACATTTGAAATAAGTCCACACAGCACAGGACTGCCACATAGAAGATGGCGGTGAAGTAACGTAGGACTCAGCGCTCCATGAGGCGTCTAGTATTAATGTCTATGATCAGGGGTGTCCAAAGTCGGTCCTCGAGAGTTTTAGTTCTCTCCCTGGTGGTGGTAACAACCTTTTCAGCTTGTCAATGTTTTTTATTTAAATAAATGCTCTTATTCCTACATCGTTACATTGGAAAACTTGATACATACTTGCAAATATTTTACTCTCAAAATAAAATATAACTACCTGAAAACTAGAAGCGTGGATTCAGTCAAAACAATGCTGATGTTAATGCAAGTGAAACATTCACAAACAAAAAACATTCACAGTGTCGAGTAAAAAAGGTTGTGGTGGATAGGCGTAGCTCTGGATCATGTGGTGTTAGTAGTGATTATAGATCAGCTGGTGACTTTAGTGAGTGGGTTTATGGGGGAAGTCTACTTTTTGCTGACCGCTTTAAGCTTGAATTATTTTTCCTCTTTGATTGCTGTTTAAACCTGCAGATCCATTTTTATGCTGCTTTTGGACACGGATGTCTGTTATCCACTGATGTTCTGCCTTGGATATTTGAAGATATTGATAAAAAATAAAACCATCTTAACTGCAGCCTAGATTTAAGTTTTGATCACCTGGTTCTTCAACAATGATTCCTATTCAGCTGTCCGGCGACTTTGTTTGACAATTGCTAATGAAGCTGATCAACATTTTGATCAGCTGAGTTTTGCCTTATTTGTTTCTGCTTACCTTTTGGTAGCCGAGCAAAGCGATCACAAGCAGACCAAACTCCTCTAGTGGACGTGATCTGCTCCTGGGTCAGGCTGAATGGCAGCAGAGAGAAGAGCAGATAGAGGGACATGATGAAGCTGCATATGAGGAAGATATCCAACAACTTCCTGTTTTGTTTTCCTGGCAAAAATAATATTTCTAATGACAGGCTGCATGCAAACAGAATTCAAACAAGTTGAAAGGGGTCTAAATGCTGACTTTAAAATACTTCTGGTAGTTTGTTTATAAATCACTGAACGACTTTGCACCAAAAGTTGTTGTTATGCTAACCTTCTGGTTCTGGTCTGCTATGCATCTCCAGATCCAGAACCAAACATGGAGAAGGAGCATTCAGCTTTTATGCACCACAAAACTGGAACAAACTCTGAAACCCTGAGTTCATTTAAATCAAGACTAATCCCAGCTGTTTAGAGCTGACTTGCTACACAAATAAACTTGACTTGACTCAGTGTTCTGTGGAGGATATATTCAAAAAGAGGTAAATGAAATCTGTGCTATTGCTGAGTTGCTGTTCCAAAATAGTACATTAGTTTTATGAAACCTTGAAAAATCTGAAATTGTCAAGAGGTACAGAGATGTGTCCCAGAGAAGCGGTGATATGCCAAATTTGACAAAGACTAAAATAATATTTTTCACCATGATGCAACATGTTGGGAAATTTTAAAAATTGAAGCAAAAATAACGGGATTTCTACAACCTTTGACATTTCTCTGGCCATGAATGGTCTGCTCTTCTGGGTGAAGAGAGGACAACTATAGTGCAGAAATAGGTGAACATTCCTCCAATCTGCTGGACTTGATGGATGATATGTTTAGTATAATTTATTTGTGAATCCAGTGGAAAAAAAGCAAACAGCTTTAAGAAAACAGCAGCCAGAGATTGTGGAGGCTGACTGCTTTGTAATTCCTCCCATGATGTCTGTGTGACAGTGATGTGTTCACCTTTGCAGTGGTGAGCTGATTATGACCTCCACCAGCTGTAAAACGCCATCCAGGACCTCCACAGTAGCATCCCTGACCTGTCGCCGTAGCGTCACCCCTGAGGCACAGACAGGACTGAAATACTCAGCCAGACTTAAAGAGCAGGCGCAAATATTAATCACTCTTTAGCAGAGGTAGGCAGAGAACAAAGAAATGTAATCAGGTAAGAGTAGCACTGTTTCAACATATTTTTACTCAAGTAGAAAGCAGCTGTCCAAGAAATGACTCAAGTAATAATAAAGTATGTGGAAAAAAGTCTACTCAGGTACTGATCAAATTATGAATCATTTAATATTTAATAACTACATATTCAGACAAACTAAAATATCAAGTTAAGTGAAAATTTTGGTATTTTAGGGACAAAAATAACAAAAATTCATATAAGTAACAAAAAAAAAATGAAATCAGGCATAAGAACATTTTTCCAAATCAATTTGTTTCAATAAAAACCATATAAAACTTGAACAAATACTGCAGGTGTGTGTCTGTGTTTGGTGAATTTTTGATTAAAACATGTTTGTTTTTCATTCAGTGGGTAGAAAATACAGAAATTTTACTCAAGAGAAGAGATACTATATAATAAAATTACTCAAGTACAGCGTAGTAAAATTACTCCTAAAAACACATTTTTTTCAAAAAATGTACTCAAATATTTACATTTAATTGAGTAAATATAACTAGTTACTATCTAACTCTGCTCTTTTGTAACTCAGATCTACTTTGTTTTGCTAATAAAAATCAGACTTTATACAGTTTAACAGTCACCTTGGCTTTTGTGAAGGCGGTCATAAACTTCACTCAGAGCCTGTATGCTGTTCAAAACAGACACTACCAGTTTTTCTCCATCCTGCAAGACAAGCAAGTTTGTTTTTAGGAGACAATAACATGTTTATATGGCTGTTCAACATGCAGAAAATCAACAGAATTCCTAAAACTATCAACTTAGAACAATTAGATGCTTTTAGATGATGCCTGAATGAATAAGAAGAATTTTGTGTACAGATACGATTATTTGTGTTGAAAATAGCAAACTGACTTGTAAAGATGGCTGCGGGGGTTTTGAGGAGGCCAGGTTCAGGTTTGTCATATCCTGAGACATTGCCTCCAGTGCCTGGTCTGAGGAAAAGTGAAGAAAAGTGTGGAAACATTTTCAAAGTATTTAACAGAAAATAAATGCTTTATTGTAATGAGCAATAATGTGTGATGATAAAATGTCGTAAATGAGCACTATTCTGAAACAACTGGCATTGTATATCTCATCTTATTGTGACAAAACATGGACAGTCAGAAGATGGGAGGTCACTTTAAGCTACATGGGGTCTAGAAAATGTAGATTTGATTAGAAAACTCAACTGAAAGATTCCCAGAAAAAGGAGCGATCGAATGCTCCACTCTGTTCACCTGATTCTCCATCTAGAGGAAACAATACGGAAAACACTCTTTCTACTTGATTCTGCCTCATAAGAACATGTTTCAGTACTAAGCATCAAACACATAATAAATAGAAGCAGAGACAGGCCCACCTATACAAGTTAAATTGTTTTTGATATTTTACATATTCACCAATCTAATACTTTTATTCACCAGCAA